AAAAGCTCAGTTGCAAACTCAACTCTCTCTTTTTTTTTTTTTAAATTCTGAAAACAGTTGACTCACTCAACTCACTCAAGGTGCCAAATTTTAAAACACAGTCTAAATGAACGGGATTAACATTTTTTTGAAACCTGAGGTTTTGACAAAATAACAATGACAAAAAACACAAAACATTAACATTAAGCAAAGGAAGAACATTTATGGATGTAAGATAAGTCACTGATGCATTTTAACACTATACCAATCAAGTTTTGGGGTTTGATAAGACTATGCTGGTTGTATGGATATTTCCGTTCACGAAGCCTGAAGAAGCTGGGAGGTGGGTAACAAAATCAGTGCTTCTTGGGAGATGTGATGTCATTGAAATGTAATGTAAATTAGAATTGGGAATTACTTACTATGCCTATGTGACAAAACACAATTTGATCTCTGCATTTAACCCATCCAGTAAACATTTATATAGACCAGGTGTGAGCAAACTCTACGACTTGTGGGTCACAATGGGTCCTGGGATTTGATGGGATGCTGGGTCAGGAGAAGATGTATCACATGTAAAAGTCGCAAAGGCTAAAATGTTTTAAGCCTTTTCATGCTTGGTAATGGACTGCTGTTTTTCAAGACAACCACGAGGTGGTGGAGGATTTTTGGCCAACGAGGATATTTTACAAATGTCTTCTGCTGTTTATTTGAGAAAACAATTTTACTCGTACTTTACAGACACCTACATACTTTAAAATGTTGCTTGAATGGGGTTTAATAATTGTTGTGTCGACTGGCCAACAGATGAACTGTACCTGCCACCAATGAGGAAGATTGATGGCATTCTCAGCGAACAGAAGAGAAGGCTGCTTAAAAGAGTCGGCATGAGCTCTCAGCACCAGGTAATTTGTACGCAAAAAGGAAGACAAAAACAAGAGAGAAAATTGAGCATTTTACAGACTCAAAGGGTGCACTTACCGTATTTTTCCGCACTATAAGGCGCACTTAAAAGCCTTTAATTTTTTCAAAAATCTACAGTGTTATGTATTACTTTTGGTTGCGCTTACTGAGCTTGAACCGATTTTATAAAGCCAAACCACACAGCGCATCACACGTGATGGCACACAACTGAAGCACACTGGCAGCCAACAATCATGTTTAACTCTATTATCACAATTAGAAGATGCTCAACAACAATTGTTACACTATGGTTGTGTAACCCAATTTCGCGTCGTGCCTCCAAACGACCGGAGACTCTGCGTTATGTTTTTGTATTGTCGACGGTATGGTGCGATTTAGGACGACTCAGATTTAGGACGACTCTGCAAAACAACATCCGCACTTCCGCAGAACAGTGTCAAAACAACAATACGGTGACCATCCAGAACAGAAATAGTGACAACCGCCTGACTGGCTGCTGGAGGGGCGAACAACAACAACAGCGCCCTTCTGTGTCCAGGTCATTACCCTTTTCCACAAATCTCCGTCTCTAATGACCTGCGACTCCATGCGCGCCCATCTCACCGATATTGTTAAACCCAAGTGAAGCAAACCAATTCTGGGCTTGCCATCGTTCCAGGTGGATTAACCAAAGAATTTCAACCGCTAAATATTAGTGTTAACAGGGCGTTCAAAGTTAAATTGCGAGGCGAACACACATCCACCAAGACAGGGAGGCAACGCCGGGCGAATTACGCCACTATCGGCCAATGGATCATGGATACCTAGGCTAAGGCATCAACTCAAATGTCGAATCATCACTGAACAGCTAATCAACAGCAACGAGACTGACTCGGATAATGATGAGAGGAATCCAGGCATGTTTTGTTTCGCTTAATGCGCCTTATAACCAGGTACGCCTTATGTATGAAAATATTCCCGTTCATTGATAGTGCGCCTTTTAATGTGGTGCGCCTTATGGTCCGAAAAATACAGTAAACTAGGACCAGTTGGTTTGGATTAGTGTGAGGTAAGAATGTTATAGGCTGACCGATATTATCCGGCAATATTGGCATAATTGTCTAATATCTGTAAGAATCGTTATCGGTTTTTCCTACAATAATGAAAACCCGATAACGCAAAATGATGGGTTTCACAAAATGATGTGTGCTCTAAAATTAGTTTAATGCCCCAGCATTAGACCAGTCAGATGCCTCAGTGCTCTGAAGAACTTTTATTAAAACACAATTGCAGTAACTCGTCCTAAACTCCTTTATTTCTGGCAACCCAGCTACTCCAAAAACAACTTTTCCTCATCTCACACACTCCATATTTTCTCATCCTCATACACACACAGCTCACCACACTTCCTCACTCCCCCTTCTGTACCTGTTACTGTTAACTCCTTCATAACACACAGACAGAACATTATTAATGACAAAGTCCCCAGTCACTAGATGGCAGCATTGTAGCTTATTTTATTCATCTATATTGATAATCAGGGGATTGTATGCAGTGTTTGGAGCCAGCAACTCTTACAGTGGTTTGTATAGATAAATAAATATGTATTACTAGGTGTTCAACAGTATTTCAATTGGTATTGGTTGATGTCGGAATCAGAAGTTAAGTGTTTGCACAATATCGACATTTCACATATCGGCAAATGTTAATATCGGACATCCCTAGTGTTAGCGCTGGCTTTATTGTCAAACCGTTGGCCTCCAGCGACCGGGTGGTCACCTCACATATCCCTAGTTCTGCACATGCATGCAAGAACAACAGGACAGGAAGCTTACACTCACAGGCTGGAGCTAACATGTTGTTAGCTTGAGAGTACTTGCAGTTAGCCAAGAAATGTCAAGCTAGCTAGGAAAATGGCTATTTCTCTTTCGGACAGCTTGCGGCTTGTGGACAAATGAAGATAATTCAATTTGTGCTTGCTGTGTTTACCCACTTGGCAGATGGATACAGATTGCAGTTTGATGAAGTTGTTGAAGTTTGATTAGTCAGAAGTAGCATGCGCAGGAACACATTTTCATGGAGGATCCCAGTCGCCAAATATTTTATAATTACTTGTTACGTGAATAAAATGTTGCACTGAACACTTTTCTATATGTGCCGTCAATTGGATTTGACAAAAAACGGTAACTACACTTACCCAAAAAAATCGGAATGGGCCAAAATATTGCAGTTGGTGCAGGTCTACTTCATACCCTCATGTTTAATTTGTTTAGCTCAGCAGTATTCCATCATTACTATAGTACTAGTTGACAATAACACAGGAGAGGCAGGAAATCTGTATGGAAACTTCACCCTCAGCAAAGCACATCAGGCGCTTCGGAGGAAAGTGTGTAAGCAGGAGAATGAAGCGGTTGTGCTACGTTTCTAAAGCTTCTCGACTTTTAAGTGCATTTCGACATGAAATTATGTTTAACAGGAAGATGTTGGCGCTCTGCATGCCAACAATCCAACGCAACATCCCGAGACATCTGCTTCACCTTAGAACTGTGGTTCTCGGTTATTTACTGTCATGCCACCCCTTGGGGACAGAAATGTTTTCATGCCAAGCTAAATACTATTGAATTTTTTTTATCTATACAAACCAATGTATGCGTTGCTGCCACCTAGTGACTGGAAGCTTGTTATCATTCGAGCATTACAGCAGTGGTACACTTGCCCTGCCCTACAATTTGAGAAGTACTGCCTTAGAACCATGCTCTCTCAAGACCATGTTTGTTGCTTCAACTAACTAACTAACTAACTAACCTACTAACATTGACATCACATTCTATGTAAACATCTTAGTAACTGGTGTTTTGGCCTAGAATATTACCAGCAACATGTTTATGATGTTTCTAAATGGAGCTAGTTAGCCTTCATTGTTAGCCCTTGATAAATCAGAGGAGCTACCGTATGTCTGTTTCTCTTAAGTGCCTTTTTTTTTTTTCCAGCCATAGTCTGTATCCAGAGAACTGAAAACATTTCTTATACATTTCTTTCATATACAATTACTGAAAATAATTTTGTGCATTCAATATAAATTATTTTTCGTTTTAGGACCTTAAGCTATCAGCGGAGTCTTATCGGATCTACAGTCTCTACCACTCCCTCCACCACTATAAATACCACACCTTCTTACAGTGCAAGAAAGAGGTAAGCAAACATGCAAGAAAAACGTGAAAAGTGAACTCCCTTTGACGTGTTTCACGTTTTATAAAAACAGTATGTCAACAATGTATAAATAGTGAAAAGACAAAATTAAAAATCATAAAAGTGTAGTGTACAAATTGAAAGCAGATCCATACAGCAAGACCAGTAAAGTGTTTTTACAAATATACGACAAAATATTCAACTGTGTCGAAACCACCAATTCTCAGGCTCACCATTGTTTGTTTATGTATTCCAGACTAACTCCATTGAGCAGGCAGCTGAAGACCCCGGCCAAGAGGAAGTGGTGCAGCAGTGCATGGCCAACCAGAGTTGGCTGGACAGTCTCTTTAACTCCTTCATTGAGCTGCTCACTCTCAGCACCAAAGCGTGAGCCACGTCAAGAAAAAGACTTCAGAGAGAGAAGCAAAAGAAGAAATGAAAGAAAAAGAAATGAATCCCATTGTATAGTCCCAAGACCCTACTATGTCTAATACGGTTTTTTTTTTTGGCCCTTGATGAACAAAGGATGTCTACGTGACCTCCGACATTAGCTGGTATTTTTTTCTCGTTGTTACTGGGAACCCGGAAAACGGATTAACTATGTGATGCAAGTTTTCCGGAAAAAAAAAAGAGAAGGAGCCATATTACCAAGTTCAAAAGCGGATGAGGAACTGCTGATGTATCATGTTAACTGTGTCATAAAAAAAAAACAAACAAAAAAAAACAGTTTCAGCGAAGAAAAACAAGACTGCTTTGTTTTTACATAAATTATTTTTTTGAAAAGACTAACATCAGCTGTTGGCTTTTAAAAACGAGCGAACAAAGGCGAGAATGCTTCCCAGCCTGTGCGCAGAGTGGAGACGTAAGCTGCACAAACGCGGATTAATCACGAGATCCAGTTGTGTAAGTGAACTCTCCATCTTATCCCGTGCTTTGTGAGCGGCATTGGTGAACCGTGTTATAATATATTAACACATTTTTATTATTTATATAAGGGGGGGTGGGGGTTTAACTAAACTCTCGAAAGCTCGGGTTGCTGCCTTGATATTTTAACAACCTCTTAATTGTTCAGACGTTTAGTGTTCCATCGCTACAACCCACAATATCTACATGGTCCTGATCTATATAGAAAAGAAGACACAGGAAAACACAGGGATATTGTATCTAATACAGAGGGCATCAAATACTAAAAAGTAAGTAAAGAGAAAAAAAAAGGGAATAATAATAAGATTTGAAACTAACATTGTTGTTCTTCAGTTCAATCATCATCCATGCAGGTGCAACACACACACACACCTAACTATACGTTTCTCATGAGGGAAGCTGGAGTATAAATGAGTAATATTTTAAGCAGAAACATTCATTTCATTTTTCTTTTCTTTTTTTATGTTTGTGCATACTGACTTACTTTAAAAAAAATGATCTAATTTTCCACAAAAAAAAAAGGAAAACAAGTGTGTAAATACTGTACAGTTCTTGATGAAAGTCTTTGTTCTTCTGTACATAAATGCTCCTGTATTTGAGAAACAAATAAAATCTGCAAAGAACACATTTGTGTGACGACATTTACATTTTTCTGTAAATTACTCATTCGTTTTACCTTCTCCAGTTGCATGGTTCCAAAAGTGTTACTTACAACATCCGAAAGACTCCCGTGATTGTGTCACACTTTATTACTGTTTATTACTTTTTTCCACTTTATTATTTTAGGCTATACCTATACTATACTAAAGTAAAAAGTGCAATGAACCATATAAGGTACGTCTGAGTATTACTGTAATTTTAAAAATTATTATAAAATTACAAAAGGTCGAAACTTTCTGTCGGACATTTGGTTGACCTTCAAAATATTTCATCGTCAATGTAAGAACTTGTTTGAACTCGTAAATGTACGACTAAATGTTGTGACGTTTCGACTTTATTTTTTTTTCCTGTCTCGTAATGAAGAATACTAACAGTGAGATAAAGTATTTTTAATTTGACCAATCTTAAATTCATACAAAATGCATCGTAGAACTGTACCACTAAATGTATGGCTTTATGCTGGTGACGTTTCAACTTCATTCTCGTAAATTTGCGACTTTAAACGACTTTAATTTTATTTTTTCCTCAATGCATGCTCTGTCGTATTGAGATAAAGATTGAATTTAATTCCAATAATCTCAAGTTTATACCAGCGGTCACATATACGGTATATGCCTGTTGTTACTACCCGGCAGTAAAGACGTCTCGTTTGCGTTTGTTTTGGCCACACCCACTGACGAAACGAAAACAGATCATAAGTTGTGGAAAACGAAACTTAACTACCAGGGACAGGACTTTCCCATAAAGGCACAGGCATGGTCACACACATTGTCACAGAATAAGGGAGAAAAGAGAGTTCGCTGCTGCCTTTACCGTCAGAAACACGACATATCGACTTATCGACACCAGCGGTCCAACTGCAAGCTTGTAAGTGTACTCTGTTTTTATTCATTTGTTTTCAGTGTCTTTGTTATCTTTGTAGCATGACAATACAATGGACTTTAATTATCGTTATAATCGATGTTAAACAGTAGAAAGATGTATCGTCGCATAGGATAACTGCAAAGAAAAGGGTGAAAAGACTTCAATTAGATTAGAACTGAGGTATCAGAGAAGACACTCAGAAATAAATACATGCATTTATGTATATGTACATATACACAGATATACAGAATAACAATATAAACTGCAGGTATCAGAAGAGCAGCTATATAAATAAGTACACATTGTGTATTACACACAGGGTTCGGAGCAGTCATATCATTTGCATGTGGAAGTGTGTTGTACATGGCTTTTTCTTCTTGCCACTTCGAGGAAGTGTATTTGTTCATTATTCAGAGTTTATGCCCTTCTGTATAAACTGTCCCTGAGTCTGTTGACCGGCTGCGTTGCCGCACTGACTAGGCCAGGCATGGGCAAACTAAGGCCCCAAGGGCCATGTGGCCCGTTCAGCTTTTTAATCCAGTCGCCAAACCTTTCTAAATGATATCATTTATTTATATTATCATTATACCTATGCCCTTTTTCCTGCAATACCCACGTTTCCTCGGTAGATGGCGTAGAAAATGATAAAAAGCATTTTAGCATTTTAGCCTTTATGCATGACTTCTATCATCATATTATCTTAGTTCACACGGACGCTCCATCTATCTGCGTTCAATTCACTGTGACAAACAGTTTACCCACGCCTGGTCGAGGCGCTGGTTCTAGCTACCCAGAGGCTTCAAATGAGCCGAAATGAGCCCAAAATATGATTTATATTTTCACATATCACATGTTATCATTCATTTAAAACACACTCATACTCAAAATAAGTGATTATAGTTTATTAAAAAAAAAAAAACTAAAAATACTAGGTGAAGTGGTGCCGAAGCGCCCTCTATGGTCCAGCTGCCGCAAATTACTAGGTACAAAAAATGCACAATATCTACAAAAGTTAAAATTTATGGAGTGATATTAAAAAGCAGCTCAAAATAACTGTTGTACATAAAATATAAGTAAAACTTTTTTTTTTTTTTTTTGCAGAAATGTCACCGTCCAAACAGCTGCTTGTACCATGGCTGATGACACAAATAAACAGCGGAAAATATCCCGGTGTCCAGTGGACAAACGTAGAAAAGAAAGAATTTTGCATTCCGTGGAAGCATGCTCTACGACAAGACTCCTCCGACACAGACTTTCTTATCTTTAAGGTAAACTTATTTTGTTGACGGAGAATATGACAAAAAATATTCTTCCTCTTTATGCATTTCAAAAAAACGAAACAAAAACTGAAAAGTCAGTTTTTATTACAAAGACCATAATGAAATATAATGGACATTTTGGTAAATGAATCAAAAGGAAAAAAATAGAGAGGTACCAATGGAAACGAGATCAAATCAGAACAAATCACATTGACATCAACTTTTTGACTCGTGGGCCACAATTGTCCTAAAATTTGACAGGGATGGGGCGGGTCAGAAACAAATAGATGGAGCGTTTGTGTGAACTAAGATAAATGACATGTAAAAGTCATGCATAAAGGCTAAAATGCTAACATGCTTTTATCATTTTCTACGCCTTCTGGTTGTACTTGTCATGCACATATGACAACAAACACCACTCATTAATACTTGTTTTAATTATTAACAAAGCAATATTTAATTTCATGAGCAACAACATTACAACCTGAACTTGTTTTCTTTTACACATTTTCGGATCTTAATATGATATTCACATGTATTTCCAGTACTGGGAAAGGCGAGTTTTTGTTGTCTATGACTGTGTACTTAAACCTCAACAAAATCAAGGCTATTGCATAAATTAATATGAATGATGTAATACAAAATTGTGAAAATATTTATTTAGCACATTAGCACACTTAACCCCACTTATGTGTCCGTTAAATGATAATGTACAGGCCTACTGACCTGCTGAAAGATTGTTAAATTAAATATGTTCTTTCATAAAAAAAAACACTAAGCGCATTTAAGTCAATTGCTGGATCATTTCTCGTGCGTGCTGCTTTATTACCGCATCCAAGTAATGAGCTTCATAACACGGATCAAGCGCAATAGCAAAAGGGGGAAAATCTTTGGCCGAAAATGTATGGTGGCTCAATTGCTGTCAAAAAAAAACAATGATGGGCTGTGGGGCACAGGTAATTGATTTAATTTTATTATAAATCCCATAAGTCCATTGAGAAAGAAAATACTGACCTGACTTGATTGACCGTTTAATCCACTTGCTCTGTAGGCCTGGGCAGAAGTGAGTGGCAATGGCCGCGCTCAGGGAGACCCTTCTGTCTGGAAGAGGAACTTCCGCAGCGCTCTTCGTGCCAAAGGCTTTAAAATGGTTGAGGACAACAAGAACGAAACAGCGCACCCACATAAAGTATATAGATGGCCAGATGAGTCTGCATCAAGAGGTGAGGAGCCGGTCTTGCTCTACCAAAACAATGACTGGAATCTGCTGTTTTGGGATTTTGTTATTAGTAAAGATTTGCATTACTGGAATTAAAGTAAGTGTTGAAATAATAAATAGACACTACCAATCACTATTATGAATGATTAAGGAAAATAACTAATACAATAATAATCAATATAGTTTTAAGATAAATATCTAGAACTTTTTTATATATAATAATGTCAATAATAATACATTCAGCCCAAGCAAAGAAAATATTTTGGTTTAGGAAAGAATGATTTTTATATTGAAATTTTATATTTCACATTTTAAACTTTTAGTGGAATTATTACAAATAATTACGTAAATCCTCAAAATTATTTTTCTATCCTTGCATTCATGATTCATACTAAATGCAATATTTACGCATATGTATGCACCCCGCGCTTAACTGTCAACACGTTCAATCATTTTTAATTTTACATTTTTGATTTTCCATCTATTCATCCACTCATGCGTCAATAATTTTAGTAATTCTAACATAGTCTAATATTTGGATTTGTCAGCAGCAAGGATTCATTATTTATTGATAAAAAATAAACAGTACCACATTTAAATTTTAAGAAAACACAGAGATAGTTCATTCATTATTTTCTGTATTTTACATACCGTATTTTCCATACTATAAGTTGCACTTTTTCCATCCTTGGGCTAAGTTTGCGACTTATATTCATGTGCAACTTATATATATCAAAATAGATCATTTCACGTTTGTTATTTTCACACTCACAGCCACTAGAGGGCCCTCTAGGCTCGTGCACCAGTATCTGCTACTTCTGTAAGTTGTAACTTTTTTTTCATCCTTTGGCTGGTGCGACTTATAGTCCGGATCAAATATAGTATATAAAAAATATGACCTGGAGTAATACACTAATTTGGGAGATATTTAAGTGGGATTCTAATCAGGAAGTTTAAAAATAACATACTGTGTCAAACTAACTTTCTCAGGGTGTTGGTACACATTTTGATGTGTCTGTATTGTCTCTCTACCCCGTACACACTAGTAATTCGATGTGTAATTTAAGACACTTATTTGTCCCACAATGGGGAAATGAAAAAATTCAGTTTTTTAGTACACAGATTTTCTTCGTTGACGATGCATCATACTTTTTCACCTTACTTGTAAACCGATCCTTGAACTGTGACTGTGACTGTTGAGGTACACATACCATGTGTGTTTCCGTGTGTCTCGTTTCCCGCAGATTCAAGCCAGGATATTCTGCAGCAGAGTCTGCAGGGACTGAGCCTCAGCCCTGAAGCAGGTAGACACAGCTCCAATGGTGCAGTGTTTAGATGGAAAAAAAAAAAAAAAAAAGAAGAGCCAGTTGCTTACCTGCAAATTGTATCTCTTTCTTTTTCTAAAACTTTTGCTTACAGACCCCACAAATACAGCCTTTCAGACTGTTCCCGAGCAAAAGCAGCTGCACTGTCAGCCCGTGATTGGTGGAGATGCGTTGCTGGGGCAACAGCAGTATCTAGCCACACTTGAGGGTGCAGCCGATGTAAATGCATTTCCTGAGCAACTAGAATACCCGCTGAAGGGAGCTGAAGGAGGGGCCTGTGATGAGCAGCTGGCAGAGCAGTTTCTACAAATCATGAACCAAACCAACAACGGCGATCGTTTTAGTGAGTTCTCTGTTGTTTTACGCCAATATGTGACATAGATGTGGTCCTAAATTGTCATTTAAAGCTGCACTGCCTACAGTGATGACCAGTGTCACAAAAACCTCAGATTTAAACACCAAACATGAAATCTATCCTGATATATCTGATAATTAATCTGATAATTAAATGACCTGGATGACTGAGAACCTACACAGACAATTATCTGATAATAATTACTTTTCATTTTTGTTCTTGTTTTTTTTTCCATCATCCGTTCGGTCTGCTGCAATAGCAGTGCCTCACCGCGCAATGCAGCGCACCCTCCACCTGTCACCACACACAAGATCTCACTCCTGCCCACTGACCAACTGACCAAAGTTGGCGATGCTAGCATTAAATAAACACGTTTTTAATGGAACCTCCATAAAGCACACGATGAAGTGACGAATCACCAAAAACTCTTTTCAGGTCAAAGACTAGAAAATATGACGACACATATATAGCATTTGGCTTTACCTGTGTAGTAGTTGGGTAATGAGGGGAGACGGCAGTGTGTTGCTTGTCTAAAAGTGGTCCATTGCCACAGCTTGAAACTGAACAAGCTAAGACGCCACTTGGAGACAAACCATTCAGAGCACAAAGACCGCTGTGTTCAACAGTGTTTTTTTTTTGCTAAAGCTGCATCCATGCAGGCAAATGCTCAACTTGCCTGATATAAAGTTGCTTACTGAGTGGAACAGAGCAAAACGTCCCCCACACAATAGCAGAGGAATTCATATCGGACTATTGAGGACACCTGTATATAAGCCACACCCACTAAATTTAAAAAGAAAAAAAATAATTGTACATATATAGGCCGCACTTCTCTATAAGCCGCAGGTGTCCACGTTGTAATGAGGATATGGGATGGGATTTTTTTCACTTTAAATTAAATAAATGCTTTTTTTCCGAACAGTGCCTGTAACACAGCTGCTTACACGTTAGCTCTTTCCTGCTTCGGCGTCCCGACTGTAGTTGGACTGCACAGGGGAGACTGTTCCAGATCCGAAGCTAACATTAGCTCCGGGGCTAACTCCCTTCACTTTGTGCTTGTCCGTAGCAGAGGTAAACAGAATTTGTTTTGATGGGGGGAGCGTGAAAATTTTCTCAAGAGCCAAAGGGGGTCCCAGCAGAGAAAGTTTGGGAACCAGTGACTTAACTACCGATTAATAGCTAAGCTTTTAACAGAACAGAAAACACTGACTCTTCTATCTGAACACTTTCCATGTAAAACATATCCATATAACATCCAACAACATCCATATACAACTTTAATGCCAACGACCTTGATGCCGGACCAAAAAAAAAACTGGAGGCTAAGGATTGCCAAACAGAGAGCTCCCCTGAGCAGATGACTCAGAAAGAGAAGGAAATCCTTGGAAATATATCAGACAGCTCAAACGCAAGCGAGGCAATAACTTTATCATGCAATGTGAAAATGGATCTTGTCCTTTTTTTTGCATTTTGTAATTCATTTAATTAAATTCAAGCAACTAACTTACTAACTAACTAGCTTTTAATCAAAGTTCATTTTAAATTACGTATTTTTTTTTCACTTTTATTCTAGTACATTTTTAGATGGGTACTTTTACTTTTCCCTGAGTAGAATTTAAGCAAAGTAAAGATCCTAACTCAATTACCTTTTTAAGTACTTTTTCCACCTCTGCACTTATTATGAAAGTTATTACACAACACTTAATAATTCTTATAACCTAAACAGTTTTTACGGGGTATTTCTAGACATGTCACCAGTCAATCACATTGCTGTAGAGAAGTGATTCCTAACCACTGCGCCCCAGCACATTAATGTACTGCAAGATAGTGGTATGGGGTACTGCATATTTTGGTATCGAACCGATACCAACTAAATACGGGACAGTATACCGATCCGATACTTTTCAATAAATAAGGTAGATGCATCATGGAATTGCTAAATCTCAATTAATTTTCATGACCCTAAGTGTTTTTTTTTTGTAATGTTTCCTTTTTTATTATTAAATAGTTAATCCCAGGGTGGCGCCTTGGCCCAGAGGCAATGTCTCTGTCAATGGTGTGGAACCCCAGGGTTCACCTCCTGGGCAAGTTCGAATCCCGGTTAGGGCGGTTGGTACCTTCCAGTGGACTCTCTTGTCCTTTTTTTTGCATTTTGCAATTCATTTACTGCTGCCCCTGCGACCTGGTAACGGATAAGCGGATGAAAATGGATGGATGGATGGATGGATGGTTAATCCCAGGACAAAATTACCTCTTGCCGAAACCGCAGCATTGCAAACAAGAGTGAAACTTAAAGAATCTATCTCTCCAGGCTGGTACCGATCCGATACCAACTTGGTATCGATACTATCCATATTTGGATCGATCCGCCCGCCGCTACTGCAAAGAGATCCTCTGATGGACAGCAGAAAATTCAAACTCAACTCAAACTTCAAAGAGTTGAAGAAGATGTTTGAAGAAGATCTTTGCGTGTCTTTCTTAAATTCTTGCGAGTATATCAGCGTTGCATTCAACTTAACAGGCCCGTTTTTCACACTAGGTGTTAGGTAAAGTGAGTAAATTCGGTTTTAAAATGTGATGGATATTGTTGTGTATTTCCTTTCTTATTATTATTGAAAACTGAATGTGTTGTACAGATTACCTCAGATGTTGACTTTGTGATTTCTCAGCAACTCACTTCAAGATTTCGGTGTACTACAGAGGTGTGAAGGTGCTTGAGCAGGCGGTGGAAAACGAAGCTGGATTCCGATTAGTCTACAGGTAACATCTAAACAATGGATTTGTGCCTGCTGTTAATGTAAAAATCGTATGGAGTGGCCATAAAACCACACTATTTTTTAGTTGTAACCAATATTTTCTGTCATTAGAACCTATTGGTTTCAGATACAGTACAACCTTCAACAGTCACAGGGACACAAAGAGAGACAATAAAAGCACTGATACTTGCCAACATCGGTTCATCTAGAGCAGGGATGTCAAACTCATTTGGGTTCATAGATGTCACGTAGGCCGGACAAGTACAATCGTAACACAATTAAGTATAAATAACAATAAGTCACTGTTTTTACCTTTGTTTTCATGCAAAGTATAGGTATATTAGATATTATTATCTATTTATATTTAATGACATGTAATTGTACAAAAATATCCTGAACATTAAGTGTTAATGAGTTTGACATCCCTGCCTTAGCGGGTCGGTTTTGTCCACGGAGTGTCCAAAAAAAACCCAGTCACTTTTATAGTGATAACAATAGCTGTGTTCTAAGTTCTAAGACCTCACAGAATGTTCATTTACCTCCATAAAAATGTGAATAATATTTTTTTTTTTTCTCAGCCCAGACCTCACTGGAACAGCTCTAGATTATGAATCGGGTCTTACCATGGTCTACCTGCCAAATCCTTCAAACGTAGTCGATCAGACTCAAGCCAAACTGACCCAATGCATTCTGGACAAACTTGGGTGTGGTTTGGAAATTGGAGTGTCGGGTTATGTCGTCTACGGTCATCGGCAGGGGGAAGTCAAAGCCTTTTGGAGCTTCTCCAGATTTGATCAAATGAAACAACCCCAAGAGATTCTGAAGCTACAGCCTCAGCCTCTTTACTTGTTAAAGGACTTCATACAAGGTACGTACACGACAAGGGAATGTTTGTCTTCTGCTACATTATATTTAGAGATGTCCAATAATATTAGCCAATATTATCGGACAACCGGTATTATTGGCCAACCGATATTATGGGCTGAACAATTATTAGCAATTATTTAATATCAGTAGGAATTCCAGTGCCTATATTATGGGCTGACCAATTATTAGCAATTGTTTAATATCAGTAGGAATTCCAGTGCCTGGGTCTTGCCAGATATGCTGGAATCACTTTCATTTTTGTTTTGTTTTTACAGACAATGCTAAATTTTTTAATGCCTCTAGTGGGGCATCACAATAAAGTAGGTAATGTGTTAATTCCACGACAGAAGATATAATGGGATGTGACCTAAAAGTAGTTCTGGGGAAAAACAGCTGCATGTATCGGTATCAGTTGATATCGGAATCAGAAATGTGTTTGGGCAATATTGGCATATCGAATATTAGCAAAAAGCTAATATCGGACATCCCTTATTATATTCTTAATACTAGCCTAAATTGTAAATTGAAAGCATTTGCTCTCATTCTTTTGTCCATTAACAAGGTCAAAAAGCAATTTTCGATGTTCGATCCTGAAATTTTGACAAATATCAAAAACAGAAACCAAACCTAGGTCTAGCCATTCCCAAGTTTTACGAGTGCAAATCAGGATAATATCTAATACAATAATTTATCATATTGTATTATATGATATTTCATTCATTCTAAAAGTAAACGTTTTGTCCAAAATTCACCCGACATGATTATTTTAACCAGTTTCAAAAAGGAAACACCTTTGTCATAATTAGACAACATTAGAGAGGCTTCGGGGGAACTATGAAATGAAATCAGTTACTTTTGGTCGCGGGCTTTCAGTTTCCAACCAACAAACCCATACACACCTGGCACATACACATACATGCACACAACACCAATTTGCATCCTTTCAAAGACAAACAAACAAAAAAAACAAAAACATTTTTATTCTTTTATGAAACCAATTACCCCAGTCTATGAAAATTCAACCTTTGTGTAACCATTGTCCCACTAATATAACCATGCTTTAATAATAAAATTGAAATTAGAATTGTAATAGATGGATGGATGGATGGATAGATAGATAGATAGATAGATAGACAGATAGATAGACAGACAGATAGATAGATAGATAGATAGATAAATAGATAGATAAATAGATAGATAGATAGATAGATAGATAGATAGATAGATAGATTCTGTACCACTGTTTTATATGTGAGTGTTTATGTTATCTCACAGGAATCTTGGGGTTCATTAATGGCAGCAGCTGTCCTCCCTGCTCCCTGTTCCTCTGCCTGGGAGAGAAATGGCCAGACCCGGATTTTAGGCCATGGGAAAAGAAACTCATTACAATAGAGGTTTGGGACTCTTTAAATTAGGATAACTTCCAATGTTGTTAGACCTCAATGGCATTAAAGAAGTAGCTCACTTCCTTTGCAGATAAAACAGCAAATCTCACTAGGTAAACCCTACAGAGCATCTTTTTTTTTTCTTTAAACTTTGTTTCCTTCTCTCTTTTGTTGTATTTCTCACTAGTTCTGTTTCTTTCTTTCTTTTCTTTGGTTCTTTCCCCCATTTTTTTTTTAAAGCGTCAATCTTTACTCATTTCCTCTGTTTTGTACCCAGGTGCTGCTGACCTCTATAGAGATACTCAAGAATATGGCTATGGAAAACGGTGCTTCTTCCTTACAGTCACTGGATCTGCAGATGTCACTGGAGGAGATGATGGAGATGTGCTGATTTAACTTTTTTTTTTTTTTTTCCTTTTCAATTTCGAATTTCATCAGATAGATATCAGGCATTTTGTTCAAATTTCGAATTTTATCAGATAGATATCAGGCATTTTGTTCATTTCATCTTTTAGCTTTAAATTATAAATGTGAACATTTGAAGTGAACGAGTGAGGCGGTGTGCGCTGCTCCGAGTGCTCGGCCACCTAGCGTCGGCCTCTGTAAGCGTGCTCGTATCTCAAAGCAGACATTTGCTCGACTGCTTGCTCTTATCTCGAAATAGTCGTATGTCGAGGTGCTTGTATCTCGAGGTTCCACTGTATATAATTAGCTTTTTGGGTGGCTATAATGTATAAAGTGCTTGAAATGTAATGTGATTTTTCTCACAAAAATAATGTCGCACAGTGGGACCTGGTGGCTTCAAACATGCAACCTTCCAGGCCTAACACTTCTCTAAAAGAGTTTAGCAGCAGTGGGATTCGAACCCACACCCCCGAAGGGCCTGCAGCCTTAATCCAGCACTTTAGACCATCGGCCCCCAATTTTTTTTTGTGCCACGGACTGGTCAAATGTATGAATTTTTTTCACAAACCAGCGATAAATGTGGAGGATAAATACAACTAAATAAATTGATACGACCTGGTATTTTTTGAAATATAATAATAAACGTTAGGCTACTGTGTATGCAACTTAATTGTCTTTTAACACAGAACTTTGAGTCTCCAGTTTTGAAGGCTTCATTGCCTCAGTAGAGAGCCGTTCGCTGCATATTATGCAGCGCGGGCTTTGTGCGTTGGAACAACCTGTTGCAATAAATTTCAAGGCGCTAAAGCGCGGGCTTTGTGCGTTGGGACAACCTGTTGCAATAAATTTCAAGGCGGACTCCTGGAATTGTCTGTTAAATGCAGCTTTCTTTTTCTTTGAAGACTTCTTCTTCCAAAGACGTTTGTTTTTTGTTCATTTTGCTCACTTGGGTGTTTCAATTTAGTGCTAATGTATTACGTGTTAGCCGGAGCAGACCTTTTAAGAAGGTAGCGGATGTAGCTAAGACATGTGAGCGAGGCAAGCTAGACAAATGCAGCGGGGAGAATACGGTAATCTTTCAAATTAAAACATTGTTCCGAATCAGATAATACATAAAACGGTAATAATGTGAGTTATGCATTCTTTCTGTGCGGCCCTATACTGTGTGATTGGAAAAAAAAGGCCCTTTTTTCTGAAACTTGAGAATATTGTATCACATCAATTTTTAATTGTGGACCAACTATTTCAAATAATGCATGCGGGCTAAATCTCCTTGCACTCAGGAAAACTTTTTTGTTGAAACGGCTGTCTACAACCCTAATGCAATGGCGCATATATATATATATATATATATATATATATATATATATATATATATATATATAATTTTTTTATATCAA